ACCTGGAGCTAGGAACTGAATCAGAAAACATGGAAAAGTGCTGCTTAATGAGTTACTCAGCCTCCTATCTTATATGTCCTTGGGCAGGATGTCCAAGGCACCACACTCAATGAGTTTGGCCTTCCTACCATTAATCATTATTCAAGAAAATGTACCACATATTTACCTACAGGCAAACTGATGGAGGCATTTTCTCAATTGATATTCCCTTTTCCTATCTGGTGTCAAGTTGCCAAAAGAACTAAGCAAGACATCTACTTCTAGGGACAGTTTTGTCTGTGGTGAAAGGCTTGAAATCTGATCATCACACTTGCACATAATTTACAACCAGCAGAGCTTTGAATTTGTTAATCCTTGCTTAGGAACTCTCTCATGCTGTTAAATCATTTCCCCTTTAGAATCCTAGATTTACAATGAGGCTCTTAACTATCCTTCCAACCTGCCTTGTTTTTGTTCTATAAGAAATGTTTTATATTTACCGCTATAACATGATTGACAGGTGTTGTTCAGTAAGTTCTTAAGTAAATACTTATACTTAACTAACCTGAAAGTCTGACAAATGGATAAGGATAATGCTTGGCTAATGGCCACTATGCAATAAACTAGGTACTAGCTATTTCACATAGGAAGAAAAATGAGAATTGGTGCATAAAGAATGCAGAAATGTCTATTGAACTGCTCTTCACAAGTTATAAAAAATAACTTCCCAAGAGCTGAGGTACTAAGTAAGAGATTGTAGCGATTTAACACAGCACAAATATAGGAAAGGGTGCATCAAATGGAGCAGGTGGGACACTTTTACATTGCTCACTAAACCTCTCCTCCAGCACTGAACCTATGACTTTCCAGGAGACACATAAACAAATGTCTACTCATCCCAGATAGACACTGACAGCATACCAAAGAAAAAATTCCACCCAAATATAACCTAGAGAACTAGCAAGATTTTTGAATTTATGAACAGGAGTACCGAGAATGCTTACCGAAACATGGGTGACTCAAAGATACATGCATCACCCCAAATCCTATGTTAGCATACACAATAACACTTAAAAGATGCATCCCTTTTGTTCCCTACCTGGCTTAGAGGCATCTGAGCTGACTGTAGAGTCTCCTCTCCCTAACAATTGTTGCTAGTCAGTGAACCCTGTAGAGGGACTTTGAGAATCTTAGATTTTCCGGAGCTTCCTAGGACTTACAAGTTTCATCCACCCCCTTGTATCTTGTATGTATTTTTTTCTTCCCCAGTCTCTTTACCCCTCTCTCATAGAGAGGATGTTTCAATTCCAGGTGAAAAGCTACACAATAAACCTAAGCTGCAGAGCACAAAGAAGGACACTGTTCTTGACAGAAAGACAGAGAAGAATATTTCCAGGATACTGGGCATCAGTAGGTAGAATGAAATTAACCTTTACCTTATACCATATACAGAAACTAATTAAAAATTGTTTAAAGGCTTGACTATAAGACCAGAAAATGGAGGATTTTCAAATGCTACAAGACACTTAAAATATGTGTACAAATGGTTATATATGTCATACAATAGCACAATTTGTCTGCTTGACAGAATCCAGAATCACCTGGGAGATGGACCTCTGGGAATTCTTGTGATGTTTATTTCTATTGCTTTAACAGAGGTGAGAAGACATACTTCACTTTAGATGGTTCTATGGCCTGACTGCAGTCATGGGCTATCAGTGGAGGAAAAGGTGAGCCAAGGGTGAATTCATTGCTCTCTGGTTCCTGATGGTGCATGTGATAGGGACAGCTGCTTCAAGCGCCAGCTAACATGACTTCCTGACAACAGTAGAAGGCACCCTTGAGCCGTCAGCCAAAAAAACCCTTTCTCCCTTACGCTGTTTTTATTTAATTGTTTTATCATAACAACTGGAAAAGACACTAAGACATGCCCCAAGATATGAGTCTAAGCAATAATTCTTACACATAAATTACATTATAGAACACATTTTATAACATTTTAATGATAGGATAAATTAATATTATGCAATATATGACATATTTGTATATGATATATATGATATGTATGGGAGCTCCAAGACGCAAAAAAAAGTGAAAAATAAAGAGATAGGAAGGCATCATCAAAATAAATATTTTCTCCATTACAAAATAAACAAGCCAGTATCAAATTAAAGAGAGTATCCAAAACAAATATCTGATAAGGACATTTTGTCCAAACTATATAAAGAATTCTGACAATCCAATTGCAAAAACAAAAGAAAACTATTCCAATTATGCCAATTAAAAATGGGCAACAAACTTTAAAAACCATTTCTCCACAGAAGACATTCAAAAATTCAACAGAGTATGAAAAATTGCTAGATATCACAAAATATCAAGGAAATGTCAACGCAAGCCATGGTGAGATGCCACCTCACACATATTAGAAGGACAACTACTAAAAAAAATAAAATAAAATACAATTACTGGCTAAAATTTAGTGAAAAATAGCCCTGTTTATTGCTGGTGAGAAGGTAAGTTATTAAGGGCATAAATAAAATCAGAACAAAAGCTGTTCAAAAAAAGTAAAAATAGAATTACAATGTAATCCAGCAATCTCATTTCTGGGGACATGAGGCAAAATTAATTAGTTCACTGAAGATATGCCTGCACACCAGAGTTTACTGCAGCAATATTCAAGTAAAGTCAGGAAATCGACTTTAGTGTCCAATAAGGATGAATCAAACAATGTGGAATGCACAAAATTCACCTATAAAAGGAAGAGCATCAGGTGACTTTGTGTCAGTGTGGGTAATCTTAGAGAACCACAAGGGGATCCCATGACTTGCGTCACTGTAGGTGACCTTGGAGAATCTCATGCTGAGTAAAATAAGGAACAGAAAGAAAGGGGGAAAATGCATCATCTCACTTCCACCTTCAATCTCAGTTACATGCATAGAAATAGAGTAGACTAGACCTTAGCAGAGTCTGGATCTTGGGGGTCAGGTTCTGAGGAGATGTTACCTTGATACAAGAAATTTATAAGCCTTTTTACACATTAGATGTGAATAGTCAACAATAATACATTACTCTTGAGAATGCTGGTCAATTTTAAATGCTTTCATTAGAAAGAGGGAGAGAGAGCTTTATGAATCAATAAATTGTAATTATTTGGTGTAGCATGGCATATGTGTGTAGCATATATATATATATATATATATATATATATATATATATATATATATTAAACCTTTAATTTATTTTACAACATTTTTATTTTGAAAACTTATTTCATTTAAGACAAGTTTTTCCTATGTAGCTCAACTGTTCTCAAGCACACAATCCTCAATCTCTTGCCTCAATCTCCTGAATTCTAGAGTTAGAGTCATGAATCTCCATACTTAGCTATAATTTTATTTTGTAAGTAAAAACACTTAAAAGTTAAGAAAACCTGAGATTTATAAGTATAATGTTTACTGCTATGAGAATTTTATATGATTGATATTTTCATATAAGAGCATATAGTTCTTATTAATCAACAAAGAACTCTTTTCTGTTTTAAAGACAGCCTATAAGGTTGATGAGATGGCTTAGAAGGGTAAGGAAGGCACTTACCTCCAAGCCAAACACCCTACATTGAATCCCCAGGACCCACATGGTGGAAAAAAAAAAACTAATTCCCCCAAAGCCATCTCCTGATCTCCACACGTGCAACATGATGCCATGCTTAATACACACACACACACAAACACACACGTGCGTGCACATGCACACACATGCACACACACAAAACCACAAATAAATGCAATAGAAAAATTTAAAGAAAGACATCCAGATAAAAATGTTTAAAATTCCTATCATCAAGTTAAATAGACAGTGAAAATCAATGATAACAAAAATGATTTACAATAATATTATTTACAGATTTCAAATTTTGAATCTGAATTCACATGAGGAAAATATTTCTAAATGAGGAAAAGTCCTAAACCAAATGAAGAAACTAAACCAAATGGGGAAAGGGCCAGAAAATCTTTGAAAAATCTCAAGTGTATTTCTTATATTTTCTACTTCATAAACCTGTATATCTCCTATCCTTATTTCTATGGGCTGGATTGTTTTCATGAATAAATACATCTATGATTTATATATTCTTGATCTCCCTCTCAAAAAGGCATAATTAGCTTTTTCATCAATTACAGCTTGCACATGAGACGTTATGAGGTTTTAGTTGTCTTTGTTCATCTGCTTACACACACAGAAGAGAGCTTGTATGCCATGTTGTTCTACACCATAAAATTTTAAATGATAGTCTTCATCCATCATATTAATAGTCCAATTAAGAGCACACAGCATGCTGTGGTTCTACCTGATTTACCTTGCCTGGCAAACAAGTAGACTTTTTTTTTCCAGTTAGATTCCTAGTATTAAAATTGTCCAGGAAACAGATTTAAACTGGATGCCTTGACTGTTAATGCCAGCTCTAATGTTTTTAAGTAGGGAGCTATGCATACTTCAATTGTTATCAGTAGCACATCTCACACAGGAAGAAAACTCAAATGACTTCTCAGCTCATGTGAAACCAATTTACTTCCAAGTGCTAATTATCAAAGAGGTGACATTTTTCCAAAATGTCTAGACCTTTCATGGGGGTTTTGATGGTACCACTAAGTCAACTGATTAAAATACTCTCATTTGTCTACCTGACTCTCTTTCAGTGTAAAATGTTTCACATTATTAGGCAATAAAGTAGTGTGCACAAAGCTAAAGCTTAATCTATGTAATGAGCAACATTCATCACAGTCTTACAGCACTAATCAGGCTTCAGACAATGCAGCCATTTAAAAGTTTGCTAATGAGTGTTTCAATTGAAAGTGAGCGATTTTATTCTTAGGTATAATAGCACTATTCATGAGCATCCACTGAAAACATTAAACTCTAGAAAGGCCAATACTACAGTTCCCATAATTACCTATGAAAACTTTTCAACAATGCTAAGGGATTGAATATATTTGCATAATACACAATTCCAGTGTCCAGTGGCTTTCAGAATAATTCGTCACCTGTCAGCTTCCCCTCAAGTTGGTGCAATGTTCTCTAGATTCCAAGTGAAGCTGAGTCTTCTTTGTATTAGTCTGCCATGCTTTGCACTGAACAAACAAAGGATGGGATTTCAAATCAGTTGTCTTTGACTAAAGTAGACAGACCAAGTGGAATTGATGAGAGACGGGAAGTGAATGGTTAAAGGCTTTGCTTATCCACTGTTTACTTCTTCTTCTTTAGGTTTAATTTTTTCCATGTCTGTGGTAAAAAAGAGGACACATAAATGACTACATCTTAACAGCAGGGACATGTGGCTTTGTTACCTTACACAGAATAGGCAATTTTGCAAGAGGTACATTATTGATCCTTTTAACAATTTTCCTTGCATATTCATCATATAAAATGATGGGTTTCCTTTTGCATCTCTTTGTACATGTATAACATGTCCTTTGATTACACTCAACACCACAGCTCCCTTTGGCTGTCCTCCTCTTCCTGCTGGTTCCCTTCCTCTTCCCAAATAGACATCTTCTAACTTTACTTTTCTGAGCCTCACTTACTTTGCTTAACATGATGATCTCCACTTCCATCTATTTTTCTTTCTTCATTGCTAATTTAAATGTGTGAATTACAAGTATCTCTGCTATATGTTTAAATATGATTATATACCCAGGGGTAGTATATCTGTATAGTATGACAGTTCTAATTTTTTATTAATTAAATTTATTTTACATCCCAACCACAGATTCCCCTTCCTCCTCTCCTCCCATTCTCCCCTACCTCCCCATCCACTCCTCCTTGTTCCTATTCAGAAAGGGGTAGGCCTCCCATGGGTGTCAACAAAGCATGGCATATCAAGTTGAGGTGGGACTAAGCTCCTCCCATTGCATTAAGGCTGGCCAAAGGAACCCAATATGAGGCATAGGTCCCTGGAAGCCAGCTAAAGTCTTAGGGACAGGCCTGCTTCCACCACCAGGAGTGCCACAAGTAGATCAAGCTACAGAACTGTCACACATATGTAGAGGGTCTAGGTCAGTCCCATGCAGGCTTCCTAGCTGTCAGTCCAGAGTCTGTGAAGTCCTATAAGCCCAGGTTAGACAGTGCTATTTTTTAAGTTTACATCCCTAATAAAAATGGGATTATTCCGTAAATCCTTCTACTAAGTCAGGGCTGTCATACTATTTCTAAACAAATGTGATGGACCCTTGCTTAAGTTTATACATCTTCACTGGGATTTGTTTAAATTAATGGTTTGAGATGGAGGGATTACACTGAATCACACAGGTAGAACAACAAGGGCTCTTACAAGATGGGAGTGAGAATTAATCAATTCAGAAAGAGACTGGAGAATGCTATGTTACTGGTTGTGAGCCTGGAGGAAGGGATTCAGTTAGGAGGGATAGGAGAAAACAAGAAAAAGAATGAATCCCCCCCAGAAAACTGTAGACGGAACACAGTCGTTGCAGCACCTTGACCTTAGCCCAGTGCAAACTATTTGGATATCGCTAAACTATGAGATGATGAATTCATATTTTGATAGGCACTAGATTAAGAACAATACTTACATGACATCTACTGACAATATTTGTATGTTACCCATCTCAATGTCTCTCGTTTGCATTTTTAAAACTTCCTTTTATCTTATTTTAGCTTTGGTAAACAAACATTAACTATCTTACAATATTGATAAGAATCATTTTCATAATACACACATAGCCAGCATGGACATTAAATCTACCCCTCCCTCGTCTGCCTGCACAGCTCTGGTAGCAGTGCCTGGAACCCAGGATTTTTTGTTCTGTTATTTTATTCACTTCCTCACATAAGAAAGAACACGCAGCATTTTTTTTTTTTTTTTGGTATCTGATTTAATTCACTTAGGAAGATGCATTTCCTTTCCTTTCTGATTGGAACCTCAGGTTATCTGACACACTGGTCTTCCCTTGGAAACTGGTGTCCCAAGAATCTAAGGCATTAGGGGAAAAAGGAACCCCTTTGTACTGAAGAGGTCAGGAAATGTTTTCATAAGTATTGCTGTGATCCTTACTGATTCTTTCTGTTCATTTTATTACAGGTAAGGCTGAAATAACACATAACATTTTCCTACAAAATGAAGAAGAAAAGACTTCGGTCGGTATGCTTCATTGTTCCCCCCATTCTCCCTGCAGCAATCCCTTGACTGTTAAGGCAGTCAGAGAGTTTCCCTGGTGTGCTGATAAAGTTAAATTAAAGAACCTAGGAGAGCAGGACTTCCTCTGATGGACCCTTATCAACTTATTCTTAGAAACAAACAAACAGCAAAAAGACACTTCCTTCAGCCCCTTCCATGAGTTTTCATTTAATTCAATCAAATCACTGGGAGAAACACCAAAGTCTACTGACATTTTAGAAAAGCTTTAGCTATTCAGAATTGCTTTCTGGTTTGGTATTATCTGATATTCCAAACACAATCATTTACAAGGCATCGTCGTATTCACGAGAACAAAGTCTTTGTTCCAGGATAAAGTATGTCTTTCCAGGGTCACAGAATTCCGCTAACAATCATTTGCTATTTTCCTAAAAATTATCCATATGCCTCCATCTTCACTTTTCCGTATATGTCTCTATTTAAAGAAGGAATATAAACCTCTGAATTATATGGGGCTATTGTCAATTACTCAGTGGGACTGACTTCCTGCTCATGATAAATATGTATGTCTGGCCTCCTGTTTAATCTACCTTTTATCATAATAGATTTCTAGAAGGCAAAACAAAGCCTTTTCTTTCACTCTCCACAAGTGGCTAAACATTGTCCTCCAAACTAGAAAATCATACTAATAAAGAATTTTGATTCAATCCATTTTAATGAATTTGAGTCTATTTGATACACAGTTCATTTAATTTCAGAGGGTAGTTGCATTTTCTTTAATGCTCGCAAGTTTCTTCAATTTGTGAAAGAACAGAATCCAGGCACTGTGATTACCAAAAACCCACAGAACAGCAGAGCTCCTTCAAACAGCACACGCTGCTCTGCACTTCTCCTTCACACCAATGGCACTGCAGACTAAACAGCCTGCCATTCAGTTCACACTGTTCACTCAGTGTAAAAAGGTGAAGCATTTGAAAGCACCTCTGATTTATGGTGGCACAGCTAGAGACCATCAAAGCTTGGTGTGAGTTCAGAAATAGATGGCTTTTCCTTAGAAATCAATGGCTCCCCTTCCACATCCAGGAAGAATTGATTAGACTTCACTGGTGTCACTACTCTAGTTCTAATTAGATCATTACCTTACTTAATATAGGGGTCTGACATTAAGTCTGCTAGAATGCATGATCCAGTCCTCGCTGTCCATCATCATATTTCTAGCTCCATGGATACTCTTCTTTCTTTGAACTACAAACTCTTTTTTATGCTAATAATCTGAAACTCATTGAAGTCTTCCTAGGGTATATTTGGGAGTGGGGGATAAAAGTATTGACTCAGGGCTGAACTAGTCTTTAATACTGTCTACCTCATATTCCTGGACTCTACTTCCTGAGCTTGTGATAGGATTGCACATCAAAGCTTCCTTAAACTTCTGGGAGTGACATGGAAAACTCTTACCAAGAAGTTAGGAACAATTATCTAAAGGCAGGAATCATTTCCTCTAGTACAACGACAAACTATCTTCAAGATGGTACCTGGTCCATCATCAAGGGTAACTGAGTGACCTCATAAGTGTAATCATTCTAGTTAACATGGCAAAAATATGTATTCCAAATAAGAAAAAGAAATCTTAATTTTATTAAGCCACAAAGATTTGGAGATTGACTGAAATATAATGGCATACAAACAAAAATGAAAGTGAATAAAAGGTGAGTCTATTCAGTGCAATTAACAAAACAAGACTAGCAAAAAAAGAAGAAGAAAAGGCAGAGATGTGAAGTCTGTGAAGCTCTTATCATTCTCTTTGCATTCTCTAGAATTACATGTACAATGAATCATTTCTATATCCAAGCCAACTGCAGTTGCTGATATGGTAGTAGATGTGCTTTATAAATTCACTGACCAAGAACAAGGGTGATGAAAATATACCTGCTGTGGATTTAGAAATAACTCATACATTTCTACTCCAGAAAGCTTTGATAAGCACTTGAAAAATGACCATTGGTAAAATAGAAGTACCCAGGTATGAAATCCATTATTCAGTCTTGCAGACAAGGTATTAGATATGTTCAAAGATTAACCATCTCTGTTGACATAACATTGGCCAACAGAAATATCCAACCCCCTCTCCTCCAACAAAGACCTATTGTTTAATCAGCATCTTCCCCAGAGCACCTGCCACAGAGCATGTGCCATCTCAACACAGATTTCCTTTTTCCACATCCCTACCCTGCTTAATGAACATTCAAAGTCTAGGTTTACATCTGAATAATCAGTACTTTGATCTTTCCCTAACTACTTCTACTCATCAGAATGTTTCTTCTAAAAAAATGTGATGGACTCTTTGTTTCCAAAATCCAAGAGCAGAATCTCAAGAGCTCTCTGTGATATTTTACCACTTCTCATAGTTAGTATGACTAAATAAAAAATGGCAATCAGGGAAGCTGACAAGGGCCTGCAGCCAGATCCTCTATTTTACCATTATCTCAAACCATTGAACTAAAATATATTCTTGGAGCCCACCTGTTGTCATATCAGACATAATTTAGAGTTAGGAGCAGGGCCTCAATTTTCACCTGCCCAGGACTTCAGGTTCCCCCAAATAAGTCACAGTAGGTGTAGCCAATTTCATAAGACAGAGGTTACAGAAATGAGAGCAGTGTTTATTACCCCATCATCAGAAACACAGCTACCAAGGGGTTTGAGGTACTCCAGTCCATTACTCAGCATGAAATTTTCCTGCATGGAAAGTAGTGCTCCTGTTCAGTGGATTTTGAGCCATATATAAAGGGGCAGTAATAAGATTATGTAAGATGTACAATAATAAAGCTTAATTTTGCTAACATGTCTATTTTCTGGTTTTGGGCAAACAGGCTGAGCTAAACAGCCACACATAGATGAGATTCTATTCACTTCTCCCAACTTCAGAGTATCAGTGGCCAAGGCTGCCCTCTTAACACTCTTTCCTTTGTCTGGAGAGCCAGTCTACCTTCTTACATAGGCCTATGATGCAAGGGATTACCCTACTTCCAAGTCTTATCTCGACTTTGCTTGCTTGCACACAAGCAAGAAGTGGTCTGCTTTTCTATTGGCATACTAAAAATGGCAACTGAAAAGTCTTGATAGCATTTCT